TCGTCAGGAGAAAGTGGTTTATTCCTGAAGTGCAGCGGCTCACAGGATGGAGCAGCAGGTGTCAGCTTGGGCTTCCAGGGCACATCTGCCTGAGACATGGGAGAGGAAGTGACAGCGGAGATATCTGCTCATCAGGAGCCAGGGCACCTGTGGAAGCCAAGCTATTTTGAAGTTCAGAGAACATAGACTTAGCCTTGTAGCATGTGCAGGAGAGAAAGGGCTGGGTTGGCATCGAGGGAGTTTGTCTGCAGCATCTGGTATTACAGACTCTTCAAAATGAAATCTTAGTGCCAGTTAATATTCTATTGTGTGAATGCACCATGTTTCATTCACTTTTCCCTTACTGTCAGATTTTTTAGATATTGCCACTTAAAACCCATTACAAAGAAAGCTGCAGCTGCCCCTCTTTCCATTTTTGACGCTTTGAAAATGACACAAACAACATACATTTGATGTAGAAAACTTGGAGAGTACAGATGGTCATAAAGAAGGAAATTAAAAATCCCCATCATCCCCTTACCGGAAATAAAACTTTTCGTCATAGTTATGTAGCCACAGTGGAGAGAACCTTGACGGAGGGATGGTGACTGTCGACCTTCTCGCATGTACCTTTCCCCACCTCAGTGTGAGTGTGTACACATTCTCTTCTTTACAAACAGGGTCTACTACTGTGCATATAGTTTTGTATTTTGCTTTTTTTCATTTACTACTTTGTGGTCTTAATACTTCCACATCTGTGACAGGGATCCCAGCGCCATTTTTAATGATGCACAGTATCCCTTTGCATGGACAAACTATGATGTGCGTAACCTTCTATGGTTACTGTCTTCAATCTAGACAAAAAGTCAAAGACATAAGGGAATCATGGCCACTTAAAAGGCAGGCAGGACCTAAATAAAGCAGGCGAGCCCTTCTTTTTGTTTGCATTTTGAAGAAATGCAAAGAAAAAGATACCAAAAGAAAGATAAGTTAGAATTTCAGGGGCAGAACTATTACTCAAAATCAGTAATGATCGATCGCCTTAATCAGCTAGTTTTGTGTGGCTTTTCCCCGACTCCAGAGAAAAGGGCATTCGATATCCCAACTACACAGCATGAATTGGACCAGAAAATTCTGCTGGCGGTGGCATTTACTGTTAAGGTCAATGAGAAGCTTTTGAGACCTTGAGAGCAACTTCCTTATTGAGCTGGGAACCACATGCTGGATCTGAGGGTGGATCCGAATATGATAATGCACCTGACCCCAACCCAACCTTAACCCAGACATTAATGACAACCTGCAATTGACCGAAGCACTATCTCCTCAAGTGCCAAATCCAGCGTGCTGCTGCCTCCTTCCAGCCCATTACTTCTGCCGCGGCTCATCACCGTCCTCTAATGGCCACTTGTGTCAACATGGGCGTGAGGCTTAAGGGCAAAGCAAATGTTGGCGTATTGATTGGAACGGCCTCTCTAGGGTTTCCCAACACCACCTCCTGGCTCCGCGCTCTCAAACCCACTGATAACGGGCATTAATTACAACGAGCACTCATTCTGGGGCTGGATCTCCTTGTCTGTTTTACAGAATGATCAAAGCTAAATTAAGAAATCCCGATAATGACAACTCTTGTTACTATTACTTCTCTCACCAGCAGCTACCACAGTAACTCCAGTTTCACAAATAGTAGCATTGAGGTCTTTACGTACGACGTTTTCAAACCTTGAAAAACCTTACGAGGTGTGTATGAATAATAACCACATGACAGGTGGAGAGACTGAGGCTTGGAGGGACTAAAGAACTTGGCTTTACTCCTGCCAGTTAAGTGATGGAGGTGGAATCGGTGTCTCCCTAAAACCTACAGCTCCTCCCAAACCCTGGTACTGTATTTGTGTTGATTTTCCATTCTGTCTATGAGCTGGAAAGCCGAGTCTCTAGCATTTTAATTAAGATTTTGCATTGAAGAGGTTTTAGGCAACTAGCACAGAACAATGGGTCCTTGTCCTAGGGCTCAATTCGAAGGCTGGGAAATTGGGGTCTGAAAGATGGAGTAACTTTCCCAACTACACAAAAATAATCAATCGGAGGCAGGGTGGTGAACAGCAGCATTTCCAAACTGTCATGATCAAAATCACTGGGATGGCTGTTAAAGCACTGGTTCCTGGGCCATGCCCCATATCTACCGAGTCCCTCTCTCCATGTATGGGGCCCAGGAATCTGTATTTTTAAAAAGTGTCTCCAGATAAATCTGAGCTTTGGGAAACTCGGGAGAAACTGGTTAGTGGACAGAGCATGGGTTGGGAAGAGTCAGAAGATCTTCCAGAAGATGCCAGAGATCATTCTCGGCTCTGCCACTCCTGAGCCACCCAATTCTCTGAGCTTCCTATTTCCTACCTGTAGACTCAAGTGAGTGACCCTGGCTGGGCTGGCCGCACAGAGGTGATGTTGAGGGGGTGGCCCTGAGGCGATGGGGTCTTCTGCTTCCTGGGCCCTTTGTCAGCGTCCCAGAACCATGGTGACTTATTAGGAAAGATGCTACCAAATATCTGCCATCAGGAGGGTCCGTGGTGGGATGTGTGTGGCCCTCGCTGTCTGGTGCCATGCGTATCCTGCATTGTAGCCTGGCCAAGTCAGTTCCTAGAGTAAGAAGGCTGTATCTTACCCTCAGGACACTACTTTCTAGAATTCCCCATAAGCGGTGGCTGGTTTTCATTTTGGATCTCAAATCTTACGTACTTCTGGGTGAGAGGTGGGCCAGGCACCCGCGCGCCTCCTCTCTGCGTTCTCCTTCCTCCCTGGACTTCTCTAGCTCTTTTGAAGCAAGAGCTGCTCCTTTGTTCTCCCGTCCCTGACCTTTATTCACAGGAGGTTTTGGCTCCCGACTCACTGTTTTTCCACTACAGCTGAAGTCATCATTCTTGGTGGCCTCAGCATTTATGTAGGTGAGCCATCAGCACCTTGACATCTCAGCTCCTTGAGGTCATTGCAAAGAGCTTGTCCTCCACCTGGCTTGAGCCATATTTACCTTAACCTTGTCATTATTAACTCCGCCACTTCCAAACACCTCAGTCTTTGAACATCACCTCACAGCTTCCCGCGGCTCTGTAGCTCCAACCATTCTTTGACTCCACTGGACTGACCCTGTCGCCTGTGATTCATCCTCACCTTTCTCCTGCCCTGGCTTAGATTCCAGAGCTGCCATCGTGGCGTCATGCCTGTATTCTCATCTCCCTAGCCCGTCTTTCCTCTCTCTGACCTTCTCACCTGGCTACTCAGCCCCAGGTAAACCCAGCTCTCCACCCACTCTGCATTTATACCCGTGTAGCTCTACATACTTAGAGAAGAGGAAAAAAAAACACCATGTTGACTGGTGTCGCTTTAAATTTTTGACAACCATTATCGAGTGGGCCTTTACATTTCCAATCCATTTCACACCTTCTCCTCTCTCTTTAAATCTCCAACACCTCCTCCCTAATCCACCCTCTTAAGTGATGATGTTGCTTCTTATTTCACTGAGGAAATAAAAAGCCATCAGATAAGACCATCTGCAGGCTCCTGTCACCACATCTGCTCATCCACACACTCCTCTTCCTGTCTGTGCTTATGGATCAACCGGCGATGCTCCTGGCTAAGGTCAGCCTCTCCATGTGTGTCCTGGATCCCATTCCCTTTGCTCACTCTCATACTTTACAAGAGACAAGTGATAATGTACTATCACTTTTTGTCTTCCTCACTTGATTCCTTACATCATCGTAAAAACATATTGTAATTAGAATATCTCCTGTTTTAAAAATATCCCTCTCATGGACTCTCAAAAGAATCCTCAAAAAAAAACCCAAAAAAAAACTGTCCACGTTCTCTCCCTTCTCTGGCTTGCCTTCCATTCCCTCTTTAATCCAACTCATTGGAAACACATCTCTCGTGGTTACCAGTGATCACCATATTGCCAAACCCTATGATCAATTCTCAGACCACATCCTGTCAACAGCAGCCTTGGACATGGTTGATCTCTCCTTCTTACATCACTTAATTCACTGTCTTTTGGGACACCATGCATTCCTGATGGTTCTCCCACCTCATTGGTTACTGCTCTTTTGTTAACGTCTCCTCCTCTTCCAGGTCGGTGTTGGAGGGACCCAGGCTCAGTCCTTAGTCCTTCTCTGTTTTCATCTCTGTCCATGACTTTAAGTAGCG